GAAGTGGTGCTGTGGCTCAAGTGGTAGAGTGCTAGCCTTGAGCTGAAGAGCTGAGGGACAGTGCCCAGGCCCAGAGTTCAGGCCCCACGACCAGACCCCCCCAAAAAAAAGACTCCACATAGAGCTCCCCTATGACCCAGCAGTCCCACTTTGGGGCATTTACCCGAATGATCACAAACAAGACCATACTAAAGCTACACAGCACAGCTATGTTTATTGCAGCATTATTTTCCAATCTTATAGGTAAGAACTTGCACCTTAATGTAAGAGAGGTTAGGTGTTTTCTTAGACTTAATCACACTAGTATTTCCCTTTTGCCTATGTGAACAATCTATTTACCTTTTTTTAAAAAAATCTATTTTCTATTGGATTACTGGTCTTTTTATCTGACATTAAGCAATTCTTTATTACTTAGGTAACAAGTTCATTTTATCTGATATGTACTGATAGGCAATTATTGTTTCCCACTTGGAATTTTGTGTTGTTTTTCCCTTGAATAAATGTTTGACTTTTGAATAAATAAATGAATTTTAATAGATGCAGAGGACTATGTTTTTGACTCAGTATTTTTTAATTGATATTTTCCTCTAGTCTGATTTTCTTTTGAGAAGGGGTCATTTTGCATTTTTGCCCACCTGGAATTTATTTGAAACATGAATGCTCATCATCTTTGAACATCAGTTCTTCTGGCTTTCTACCAGGGTAATTCAAGACTGTGTTTTTAGCAGGTTCTACTTTAGAGACCCTAAATTTAATGAAATTTCTCTTTAATCTGAGTTTCTTACCTTGGATATTCCTTGAACCTCTTATTCGGGGAAGCTTTTAGCTATAGTTCTTTTTTGTTTAATGGAAATTTATTATAACTAGTCCCCAACTCCTTTATCAGTGGAAAATTTTCAATAGCTAATGGCCTCATGAACATGCATTGTTAAAACTTGAGATAGCTATGGGAGGGGAAGGGGAAAAAAAACTTTACAATTTAGGTGGGGAGGAAAAGGGGGGAGTGTAGTTGAGGAGGTGGGAGGGAAGGGATGATAAGGGAAAAACAAAGGAGGAGGCAACAATGCTTGATAAGAAATGTACTCATTACCTTGCTCAAGTAACTGTAACCCCTCTGTACAGTATTTTCACAATAAAAAACTTATTTTATAAAAAGAGATAGTTAAAAGGTGATATTCCAGATTGTGATGTCTCCTGAAAGATTAAGCAACTTCAAAGACTGCTTGCCTTTGATAAGTGACCACGGCAGTGAGCTCTGTGCTCTGTGAGAAGCCCCTGCAGTAGACAAGCCGAGCTTCATCTTAAGTTAAGAAATATCCCCAGGAATGGGAAGTGTTGTTAGGGCACTAGAGCTAGAAACTTATGAGACTTGAAGCATGGCTACATGGTTGGGATAGGAGCAGAATGTCTGTAAATGTACGTTCAGAATGCAAATCTGTCCATGGTGGCAAATACACAAATATATTTTTGTTACCATGATTTAGCCCATATGGTGATCAAACAGGTTATTGTACCATATTTTCTGAGGGCAGAGATGGAGTATTACTTCTTTTTTATATCTCAAACTCATTCTATGAACAAGCCCATGCAATAGTTGTTTCATTTATGAGTTGGTAGAACAGTATTTTATATCTCAGATTGGGGGGGGTGGTTGTTGAGGGAATGGCAAAAGAAATCAGTCAAACTTGAACTCTAGTTACTCTGTGTGTGTGTGTGTGTGTGTGCAGCTGAATTTCATATCAGATTCAAATGCAGTCTTACAAAGCATTATAAACTAACTCAATGTCAGTTACTGCTTTGTCCAACCAAAATCTCACCCTCCTATTCCTGTGAAATGCACCATCAGTTTGCTCAACTTTGTTTGGCAGATACTGTAATAGTTCTACTTAAAATTTGCTTACAAGGCTCTACATGGTGACATACAGAACACTGAGTCTTCCCTAGATACTAATTTTATGCTGTGATTCAATTGTTGTTCTTTACCTTTGTTTTTTCCCAGAAGATTGACAGAGTTGTATTCGTTGGGAACTTTCTCAGAATCAATATGGTTTCCATGAAGCTACTTGCATATGCCATGGATTTTTGGTCCAAAGGACAGCTGAAAGCTTTATTTTTGGAACATGAGGTAAGTTGAGCTTACACAAACTTAAATTTCCTATATGGAGTCTATCTTAGTGTGTCTGAACAGTTCTCCTAATTTTAAAGTTTAACAAGTAGAAAAGGTGCCATTTCAACTTTGCATGTATTCAAAAAGAAAAACTGTGGAAGCTTTCTTATTCAGTAATGGACTGGTAATTGAATAGTTGGAAGGAAGGAAGGAAGGGAAGAAGGAAGGAAGGAAGGAAGGAAGGAAGGAAGGAAGGAAGGAAGGAAGGAAGGAAGGAAGATGTCAGTGGGAATGCAAGTATAATACTGTCAATAGAGGTATGGAGGTTTCCTTTAAGAATGAAATACAGATGTTAAGCACCAATGGCTAGCATCTGTACTACTAGCTAGTCCGGAAGCTGAAACCTAGAAGATTGAAGATTCAAAGCCCAGCCCAAGTAAGGAAGTCTATAAGACTTCATCTCCAATGAACTAGCAAAAGCTGGATTACAGGTGTTGCTCAAATAGTAGAGCACAAACTGTGTACAGGAAAGTTGAACCAGAGCATGGGCATGAAGGCCCTGGCGTTCTAAACCTACTGCTGGTAAAAACGAACTCAAGTATAAATAGTTAAGAATAGTTAAGGCCCTGTGACAGAAATTAATACTGAAAGCCCTCTCCCCCCTTCCCCCAGCCTTTTTTTTTAAAGCACACATAAATCAGTGCCACAACTTTTAGGGGGTGGAGTAGAATAAGGTCCTACAATCTTTACTTTTTTTCCCTCCCACCAGAGCAGCCACCTCTTCCCCCCCAATCTGCTTCTTAATGACATCTCCATGTAAGGGTTGTTTGAAAAAAAAAACAACGTTCATAACGTTGAAAGGAATATTTAAGAAGAAAAAAAGAAAGTAACTGTTCTGGTCCAATGTAGTTGCCAAATTTAGCAATTAAAAAAAAATCAGATTTCCAAGTTACTTTATCTGGCATGGTGTCCAGCATCCTTACATTCACATTTTTTGGCCTAATGCAGATAATACAGCTTAGAAGCTGTCAGTAGTGAAAAGTCATTTCCAAGGTCATAAAGGTAGGTGACCAGGAAACTTCTCGAAGCTGTCTCTTAAAATGTTCTTCATATTCTTGAATTCGCTTTGGTTCAGGAAGACCTATCTGTGGAATACTATGGAGAGACAGCTTTAGGGAGACACTGGTTTGGTGGCTCTCTAACTCCTTTGGCCTTAGGATCTTGGGAGTCCTCACTGCTTATTTTTCCTTTCTCTTGTCTTCTCCTCTCCTGTCCTTTTCTCTCCCCATCCCCCCATTGTAGCAACAACAACTGAGATCATGAGGTATTCTGGCACATCCATACCAGGCTCTGCAGTCACTCTTCAGTTAACCCAACATCAGAGGGGTAGAGTCTCCAGTCTCTGGGAACCAATTGCTAGTGACTGAATAGTTGCCTGCTGTCCTTCCCTACCCTAATTCATAAGTTGAAACCTTAATCCCCCAAATTGTGGTATTTTGGAGGTGGGGCTTTGGGAAGTGATTAGATTATGAGGACTGGCTCTCATAATGGGATTAACATCCTTATAAAAAAAGACCCAAGAAAGCTGTCTGTCCCTTCTGCCACCAGATCTTACAGCCAGGACAGCTGATCTTGTATACCTAAGAAATAAAGTTCTGTTGTTTATAAGCCACCTGGTCTGAGCTACTTTGGTATAGATAGCAACACAACATACCAAGACAGAAATGCCTAAAATTTCCTTGCATTTTCACAGAGCCATGTGTTTTTATTTTATTTTATTTTGTGTTCATACTAAGTTTAAACTTAGAACCTGAGTGCTGTCTTTTAGGTTTTTATGCTCAAAGATGGTATTCTAATGCTTAAGCCACAGCTCTATTTCTGGCTTTTTGGTACTTAATTGGGGATGAGTCTCAAGGACTTTCCATGCCCTGAGTGAGTTTGAACATCCATCCTCAAATCTCAGCCTCTTGAGTAACTAGAATTAGAGGGGTGAACCACCAACTTCTTTAATCTATAGAATTCTGAGGTAGCCTTCTTAGCATTATTAGCTAAGGTTCAGAGACAATCCTACAGAACCTTTTTATTGTTTTCTAGGGTTATTTTGGAGCAGTTGGGGCCCTGTTGGAGCTGTTCAAAATGACTGATGAGCAGTAGAGATAGATAACAGCTTCCTGTGAGGATGGAGAATTGACCTAGAGAAGGTGAAATCGCCTTCGGATGGAAGCCAAGCCATCATGGCAGATGAACCTGCTGGATTTGTAAATTATTTACAATTCTTCTAGCTAATCTTTTACTCTTAGTTTTTAATCTTATGATTCAAAATGGGGGATATATAAGAGTTTTTTCTGTAAACTGTATTTTAAAAAATTGTGCAGTGTGGCCAAACTTACCAATTTATGCATTAAGTTTGAAAATAATGTATGATATCTAAAAAGGACCGCAATGTAAGTGCTGTTTATTATTCTTCTGGGGTTTACTGATCAGTGTGGTAAATTTTAGCTTCATTTAGTAATTACTCTAGGAGATGTTACCTTTACTTATATTTTTCATGACGTTTCATGATTTGCTGTTGGTTTCAAATGAAACTACAAATCTGGCATGTTTTACTGTGAACATTTGTTTGTTTGCCCTCTTTTTTTTTCCTGTCCTTTCTGTTCAAATGTCTGATGGAAAAAAGAGTTCATCATTGTTTTTGTTCTCCAATAATCGTCTTCTCTCCTAGCCACAATCTTCCTTTAAGATGTTGTTCATATCAATCAAGGTGCTGACCAACTCAATGCAAAGTTCAACACATATCGAAAGCTCTCAAAAGAACCCAGGAAAAGAAGACTCTGAAAAGGGTTATCGATTTGAGTTTATACAATGTTGAAATTTATTTGTAATGTTATTCTTTACAAATATAATGTTTCATTTAAATATGTGTTATGCTATGTAATGTTAAATTGAAATATTCTCATGGTGAAATGTGCTTATTCATGTATACAATATGAATGGAAGGAAATCCTTATACCAAAATCAAATTATAGGATGTCATGGATTGAGGTACCAGGTGGTAATAACTGTTTTGTACATGTATGTACATAGGAGCTTTGTAACAAGGCATCTTAAACAATAATATTAAAGATTTTGTTGTTGTTTTATGTTTAATCCTAAACTCTAAAAGTTAAAAAGAAATTTATGATCTATGTATCTATTTATCCATTTATCATTTTATTTTAATTTTTTTCCTTTTTAAAGATTCCATTAAGACTAGTGGGTAACTTTTAAATGAGAGTCTTGTACATATAGGGAACACATGAGATCTAATGATCTTTTGGGTTGAGCAAACCCTTAAAAGGGATTTTTTAAGGCAATATAATTGCAAAATCTCTTCTCTGCCTTCTAAGCACCATCTTTAATTGCCATATCTTTAGAGTCTTGAAGAAGTTGATGCTAATTGAAGAATTCACTTGTCTGGTTGAAATAAAGTCTGTTTTTGTTGTGATGTTTTTAGTGTAGATGTTATTTTTGTTTCTTGATCCTCATTTTCATATTATCTGCTGTGTATTGTAAAGTGACTGTGTGTTGTGTTTTTGCTGCTCTACAGATCATAACGTGACCCTATAAGTGTGGTAAGGTCCAAAACTATGTCTTCACTTGAAACTGCAGCCCTATGTGGGATTTAAAAAAAAAAATAGACATATTGCTCTTCTACATTAGACTCCTTAATGCCAAATTATCACTGCTATAGTTGGTAAGTCTGAAGGAGTTTCAAAATTTGCTCATCAGAAATATATCCTAGCAACTTCTGCCTCACTTTAAAATAATTAAAGCAACTAAGGTGTTCTTTTAAAAATACATTACGTATAACTAGTGCCTTTTGGTGGTCTCTTTGCCCATTCTTCTATCAGGGAACAGCAGACCTTGAACCTACAAAGCATGGTTCTGCAAAAGAAATCAGGTTAAGTTAGTATGACTGTGTTATTTAACTATCTGGAATCACTTGATCTGTCATTACACACTGAAAAACACCAGCTCAGCTGAGGAAATATATTATTCCATTATAAAAATAACAGTCGGATGTTGGCTTCCTTTAGATTCTGCATCACAAAGAAATTTGGCAAGGCTGAAAATTTTTTGTATGGTGCTGTATGGCATTAGGACATTTGGGTGGTCCAGAGCATGGCTTTTTATTGTGACACAACTTCAGTTTGGATCCAGCTGTGCAGGCAGGTGGTTAAATGTTTCTGTAAAGCTCACTTTCCTCATCTGTAAAATAATAGGGCTAATTATAATTTTATAAATTTATAAATAATAGAGCAAATTATAGTTTTATATCCATAGTGGAAAAGTTTAGTACAAGAGTTGACACATAGCAAATGCTCCATTCATATTTACTGTAATCAAAAGTATGAATGTATAGACCCAGATAATTTAAACTACTCAGTGATTTCTAACCTTTTAGAATGTGGGGATTATATTTTATCATGAAGATCACAGATCTCCACATGCTAACTCATATCCAAAGCTCCTTACTCACCATTTCAAAATCTCAAGCTCTTCAAAGTACCTTGATAATCCACTTCACAGCAAAAGCTGACTTGAACATTATTTATCAGAAGTATTAGGATTTTTCATATATGTTGTTGGAGAACTAGCAATGCATTTGATTATAAGATTACTAAGTAATGGATAATCCTGAATTTTAAACTCTATATAGACCTGAGCATTTCAGAAAAGAGGGTATTAGAAATATTGCATATTTGGGGTTATTACACTTGATATCATCCAGTCATTATTAAGAAGTTATTCTGTGTTGAGCTTCTAGCCTGTAATCCTAGCTACCTGAGAGGTAGAGACTTGGGAATCATGGTTCTGGGCCAGCCTGGACTCATAAACTTTCGCTTACGCAAAAATAAGTCAATGAGACTCCAGCTGGGCACAGTAGTATGTGCCTGTTATCCTAGCTCTGTGGTAAGCCAGTGGCTTGGCACAGTGGCACACTCCTGTTACCCCAAGCTGTGAGGAAGCCCAATAGCATTTCAGCCTAGGCCAGCACAGGAATAATTGCAGACTGTCCCTTGAAAATAACGCAAGCAAAAAGCTGAAATGGAGCTCAAGTTTAGACTATATGCCTTGCAAGCATGAGGCCTGGAGCTGCCCCCTTCCACACACACCCACCTACCCCGCCCCCCACCACACAAAGTACCAGGAAGGAGATAGAGACTAAGGAATAGTATACAACCTCTGTATCCAGCAGAGGAAGACAAAATCTCAAACCAAAATGTGTAACAATGAGTCCAACAAGCAGCATTCATCTATCTATTTGCAACTACACTAGTTAACAAAGTAAAGTTCCATAATCTCAAGCTTATGTTATAGAAGGGAAGACAGATACATGATTAGATTTATAGCATAATGTCAGCTTAGAGCTACAGGGAGGAAAATAAAAAGGAAGCTAAGCTCAAAAGGAAATAATTCTATTTAGGGAAATATGAAGGAGAGGAATTTATTTGGTTAGGATGTTCAAAGTCAGCTTCAGCCTGTCATCAGAGGTGGTCTCTGAACAGAGGTAAATGAAATTGAAAACACTGTAAATACTGGTAATAAATATCTTTCCACTCCAGGCCAATGGGAATGGCATTTGAGGATCTGTAAAGAGTCTAGTGGGGGAGAGGGAAGTAGAAGATGATAAGAGTGGTGGGAAACAGTTTAGGAGCAGTCCTGGGCCAGTTGTATGTGAAGTCTACAAGGGAGGACGGGGGCTCCACTGGAATGTGGACACTTCAGTCCACATTATCCCTGAGAAGGGAAATAGGCGAGTTCTGTGGAGTCCTTACTAATGACCAGGGACTGCCAAGTGGGCCAGGAGGGGAGGGCTTCCCAGTCAGAGCAAGCTGAGTGCACAGAAGCTCTGAGGGAAGGAACTGGAGTCCACCTGCTTGGTGATGAGAGTCTGACCAGCTACTGGAAAAGAGAAAAGCAGCCCACCTATGGAAGGCCTTGCATTCCATACTAAAGACTGTGAACTTCTCTGTAGTCCATGGGAAGCCATCAAAAGGTTTCAAGTAAAGGGAAGCCAGAAAGTGACAGGACAGCAGTGAGTCTTGAGGTGAATGAATAAAGCAGTTATTGCACTAATGAGCCCATAGCACTGTTTCATTCTGAGGTTTATTTCCTCTAGTGTACCATCCTCTAATTGCTGTATCATGGACCATGTTTTTTGCATAGTCAAGATGGTCATAGGAATCTTGGCAAATTTTTCAGGGTGGTGAAAACTACTCACAGCTACACCTGTGCTGTGAGTCCAGTCACTAGTAGGAAATTTTTCAGTAGCAGATCTCACCCTTGCAAGAGAGAGAAATACTTGCTAAGACAGAATTCCTCCAAGTAATCAGAAACCAAGCACAAATTGATGAGGAAGACTTATTTCAGGCAGTGTTTTCCAGGTCTAAAGGTGCTCATCCACTCTCCATCTGTTCATTTTGACTGGCATCATAGGTATGACATCAGAGACACTTGGCAGCCTTCAGGATGCCTTCAGTTGAGAACAGGGCTGCAAGCCCCTTCTTTCACTAGGCTTCTACCCTGGTGAGATAGACATGAAATACATAAGCCTATAGGTAATCAAGACAGCGTCTAGGCATGATTAAGAGAAGCAGGTGAAATGATGGGGTGGAATGAGAGATTCCCTTTGTCAGATGGTTTGGGATGTGTGGTCTTAGCTTTTCTGCTGGAACAAATTCACCTTGCTTTGGTCCTCGCTACCTCCTCAGTAAAAATGAAAGACAGATGTTGGGGGAAAACAGTTGGGTAACTAATTTATCTTCCTTAGAATACTTAATTTAATTCACTTATATATTTAAAATCAAGCTCATGTAAAATAACATTAATTTAGTAATGTATGCCACTCATTTCATGCAACAGTTTTATTTGGATTGTTCACTTGAATCTTCATTACTGATACCTTTATCATGATCTAAGTCATTTAATAATTTCCAGAACACAAGTTTATGCACTTTTAAAAAATGAATCTCTATATGATATGTTGAATGTTTTGTCTTCGGCCTAGCCGCAAGAACTTATTCTCATGAGTTCTATTTCATTTTCTAAAATGTATCTACAGGTGATACAGTGGAACCATTTATGTAGAGCCCTTTAAAAGGCTACTTTACAAGTCTTCATCACTTGCAATACAAAAATAAAAAGGAAATTCGCATTAAAATCTTTGCCTCTTTTCTTTTACTCCTAACAAATAAACACTAAACATTCCAAACTAGAATTAATTGAGGTAACTCAATGTTTTGGGGGGGAATTTGCATTAGGAATTTATTTAAATCCAAAGCCACAATGAAAATATTGTAATAATAAGACACAGTAATGGAGGAGACATTTGTGAGTTTTGTGAGGAGCTCAGGGTCCCCCAGAGACCATGTCCACTTTATTCATCATGGTGTCCCAGGATTTTCCCAGAGCTCAAAGCCATAGGTCCAGTAACCCAGGGTCCATATACTAAGTACTTATCACCATTTCCAAATGATAGTAACTCATCTCATCATAAACCCCAAAGAGTATCTTGTGTGTGTGAGAGTATTGTGGTTTGAACTCAGGGCCTTTCATTTAGTAGGCAGATTCCCTACTCCTAGTCCCACTTTTCATTGGCTGTTTTTGAACTAGAAGAGTCTTATTTCCTTTCCAGGCTTGTGGTGAAACTGAGATTCACCTCTTTTAGGCTTCCCATCATTGCTAGGAGGACAGGTGTGTGCAACTGCATATAGCTTCCATTTGTTGAGCTGAAGTCTTGCAGACTTTTCTGCCCAGATAAGCCTGGAACCATCATCCTCCCATTCTGAGTCTCTCACATAGCTTAGGGTTACAGGTATGCAGCACTGCACCCAGACGAGTTCTATGAACTTTCCTGCCTGGGATGGGCTTGAATTGTGATCTTCTCATTCTCAGTCTCCCAAATAGCTAGAATTACAGGCTTGAGCCACTGGCACCTGGCTCACAAATGCTATGTCATTGTTCATTCTAGCTCTCAGCTAAGTCATGAGGGTTTATCTTCTTTTAAACATTAATCATTTGACACCAGACTTTTTCCCACTGGGCAGGGTGACACACATCTATAATCTCAGCACTTATGAGAATGGGGCAGGAGTATTACAAATTTAAGGCCAGTCTGTGCTACAAATTAAATTGATAGGCAACATTTTCTTTAGTACTTGTGTGTCTAAAGATTTCTTGAAATATTTTCATTCTACCCTTATAACCAACGGATGGTTTGTCAGATTATAGAATTTTAGCTTAGATAACACTTTTCTTCAGAATTCTCAAGGCACAGCCCTGACATTGTCATGATTCCAGTGCTGTTGTAAGCAAGCTTCATGCTGTCCTGGTTCCTAATCATTTTATGTAACTATTTTTACACTTCCTTTTTAGAAACTTTTCTACTTCTGTTTTAGCTCTAACATGTACAAATATTGGAATTCTTCATTCCAATTTTTT